TGAGTCTCTGTCACCTTCTATTTCCTTTTACCTCAACCCCTCCCCAAAATGTATATAATTATCCTTTCCGCCAAGTTTCTGGCCTCATCCTTATTCTCTATTTTTCTCCCTTATATCATCCAATCCCATGTCTTTAATGATAACCTCTATGAAGATGACTCAAACCTCTCTCCAGCCCTGGCTTCTCCCTGGCCTCTGGTCTCACATTTCCGGTTACCTGATGAATACCTTCACTTTAGCTGTCTCATCAGCATTTCAAACTCTGCATGTCTAAAACTGAAACTATCATCTTTCCCCATTGAAAGTTACTCTGTTTCCTATTTTCTGTATTCCTATTATGGTACTACTAATTCTTGCTAGGCTCAAAATCTGGGAGTTGTAATTGATTTTTTTTCTTTTTTCAGGGAAGATACATGCAAACTGATGGTGGAATTTAACCCGGTCTTCCTGACTCTGAGCCCAGCTCTCTATCCACTGTTACCCCTTTCCCCCAAATTGCTCACTATATCTGTGCTAATTTTACATCCATGTTGTCTCTCATCTCCATCTCTTTCTCCCACAGCCACCATCACCAGAGTTCAGGTGCTAATGACTACTCATCTTCACTACTGTGATAATATCCTAATTAGTATAATACTACATTATTTAAAAACCTCAGGTGGTTCCCCACTGCTTACAGAAAACATTTTCCAAACTGCTTAACTGGCCTTGAAGACCTTTCCAAATCTGGTGCCCAGATACTTTTTTAAGCTAACTCTCCCATCTGTGTACTAGGGAGGAAATTGACTACTCTTTCTTCTCCAGTTTCATCTTGACCTTTCCAATCTCATTGCCTTTGCTTACAGTATTCATGGTAACTGGATCAGCCCCCTCATTCCCCCAGCCATGGCATTCTCACCTGTTGAAATCCTTCCCCTCTTTTAATGTTCTGTTTAGATACTTGATAGAGTTTCCTTAATTCCAATTCAAAGGTAAGCTCTCTTTTTTCAAAAGCCAGAGCCTTTTGTACCTCGTCAACATACTTATACGTCATCTTGTATTACATTTTTTTATGTTCTCATATTTTCTCTCCTGTTAGATTTTAAGCTCTTTGAGGGCAAGGACTGTGTCATTTAAACTTATGTCCCTGACACTTAGCAGAATTAAATATGTTTATTGTAGTTATTCTTGATCTAGTACTCACTGTGTGTAGAAATCAGTGCTTGGTGCTAAGGGCAACGGAAAAGGAAGATACGGTTTCTATCCTCTGAAGGCTTATTTTCATTCCAAGTTAGTCACACAAATTCTAGCCCTGGAGTTAGGAGGGAATGTGAGCAACACACACACACACACACACACACACACACACCCCTTGCTTCATTGTAGGAAGTGCAGTTGACATTGATTGGTTAGAAATGAACTGGATTTTTAATGGCCCCAAAATATCAACATATGCTTAAATGAGCATCAACTGTCAAAGACCCATGAACTTGTAATGGGCTGGTTGGTGTGGACGCTGCCTTCATTGCCCACTATAATGGGCAAAAATTTAGAAAAGTCTGAAACTCTTCTATTAACTCTGAGGCAAGTCTTACTATTTAGCCATTTTATAGGATGGCAAATTGATGGAGGGAAATTTAAGGAGCCTTCCTTTAGTTTAGAATTCTTTGTTTAGAATGCTTAGGCTGTCTTCATTCAGGTTCAATTTTCCACCAGGGTGGCTAGATAGTGTGAGTGGATTTACATTCCAATATTTCCTTCTCAATGCTAGGACACTCACAATCACTTTTGGGACAGAAGATATAAAGATATCTAAGCATTTTCTTTCCTAACTTAGCCTCATCTGGACATATTCCAGAACATCTGTAGAGAATGTGTTGAAATAGAAACCTTTGGCCTGCTCTACCATCACAAAGCCTGTTAGTTTAATCACTGAAGCTTGCCAGCATTGTGTTTTGACGGAGAAAAAATTAGAGAAGTTTTAACTATTAAATATCTATAGAAAACAATCAATAGTCATTTATCCTATCTTCTTCCATGGCTACATTTATTGAAGTAGGAATCCTATCTCAGTGTCTGCATCAGGGCCAGAGACCAGCTGAAAATCATTGACAGGAAATTAGAGAGGGAGAATAGTGAATTGTAAAGATCATTGTATATAGCAGTGAAGGACTTATGACTGAATTCCAACTTTGTCCATGTCACCTCTGGAAAGTAACTTAGACTTTTTGGACATCAGTTTTCTCAACTATAAAATGAAGACGGGGGCAGCTAGGTGGCTCAGTAGACACAGCACCAGCCCTCAAGTCAGGAGGACCTGAGTTCAAATGTGGCCTCAGATCAAACATTTGACACTTACTAGCTGTGTGACCCTCGGCAAGTCACTTAACCCCAATTGCCTAAAAAAAAAATGGGGTTGAATTAGATGACATTAAAATTCCTTCTTGCTAGTTTAGTAACTTACATGGGAAATATCATATGTACAGGATATCCATCATGACATCATGGGTCCTCTTGAATTGCCATACATTTTACTTTTTGGTGATGTCACTCTCAAATTGTGCCCTTCAGAAAGAAACTTTTCTATGATAAAGGAAGATGAACATTTCTGTCACAAACTTTCTTCTTCTTCTCCTCTTCTCCTTTTTCTTCTTCCTCCTCCTCCTTGTTCTCTTAATGTTGCCTTAATGTTGAGAGGGTGGCCCTATCAACAGTAAATACTAAGGAGTAGAAGAGTTGAAAGGCTGCAACATTCCTTGTGACAAGTACTAGACCTTATATCTTTTATCAGAATAAATTTTTCTTATTAATATAAATTCTTTAAGATTGTATTTTCCTACCTGGATTCATAAAGCTATATATACAATAGTAATGGAAGTAGGCTTGAAGGGAACAGGAGATTAAGCTGCAGTTTTGATCCTTTTATTTGAAGTTTTCATTATTGCCTTAATGAGAGGTAGTTGATGCTTGGGCTGAGTTGTAGTATCCCCAATGTCCCAAAAGTTGTAGTATCCCCAACTCTCAAATGTAGTTAGACCTTTTCGAGGTATAGATTGATGTCTCCAGGTATAGAGTAACTCCATAACCAGTACTGCAGCCTACTTGGGGCAAGTGGAGGTTGTGGGCTAATGAATGGAAAATTTGTAGAAGGATAAGAGTAACCTGACAGTGTCATATACTTTTCTACCTAAAGTCTCATTATTTCCTACCTGACAGAATGCTATTTCCTTGTATTGTAAATGTTTGTTCTCAATAAGAATGCAGTCCATCTGTCTGGTAAAGAAATAATGATAACCATCTGTAGAATTGGATAATGACCAATGACATATTTGTCCTGACTGTTTAGAGGGTCTAGTTCACAAAACTTCCTATTCTTGGAAGTTACCACTTTTCCATATAATAAGTACATTTCTGAGGCTTCCAATATGATCTCAGTATCCAAATGAAAAGGAAAATTGTAGGCACTAAATCAAATAAACAATTGCAAAGAGGACCTGGGAAAACATATCATTAGCACTGGACAATGTCAAATCATTCAATGGCCATATTTCTGAGAGTAAGTATAGAAGGTCAAGTATCACAGGTGCTAGGCAGTTACATTTTATTGAATGTTCTGGGCTTGGCTTGAACATTCTCCAGATACTCAGTTTAGCTCCTATTAATAGCTGTGCACTGAATTGTAAGTGACATGTATGATATACAATGCTTGATAATGTCAGCTCAATTGCTCGACTTTTTCTTTCAGACTTTTTAACTCTTTGGGGCATCCAGAAAGTCCCAGTATTCTAGTTTCCTTTTGTCATTAAAAGAAAAAAAAGCTGCCTAATACTATTTGCTAAAATATTCACATGCTTCCTTAGATCATGTACTCTCTTCCATATGTCATGTGAGTAGAACTCTCAGATGATGCCCAATCTTTAGACACCCCTCTTTTAAACAAACGGATAGGTCAAGCATCTTCTGACTTGAAAGGAGACCCAAAGCACAAAGAGATGTAAAGAACAATGGTCTTATAAATTCAGTGTAGACTCCATTTTTAGGAATAATTTTAAAAATAAGTTGCATTTATAGTGTGTTAAGGCTTGTCAAGTGCTTTACAAATATATTTTATCTGGAAGATAGATGTTATTATTACATGCATTTTTTAGGTGAGGAAACTGAGGCAGACAGAGGTTAAGTGACTTGCCCAGCATCACACAACTAGAAAGTGTCTGAGGTCAGATTCAAATTCAGGTCTTCTTGATTCTAGGTTCAATGTTCTCTATCCAGATAGCTGGCTCTAAAAATAATGCTGGTATGTAAATAGAACTTTACAGTGTGCCAAGTCCTATGCAAATACTATCTCACTTGAGATAATGTAACATCCTCATAACAACCCTGTGAGATAGGTGTTATTCTTATCCTCACTTTACAGATGAGGAAACTGAGGTTTCTGATACCTAGCTTAGTGTTCTTTCTCCTATAATATGCATTATAACATTTAGCTTATATGTTTGCTTGCTTCAGATCTGGCTCTCCTGGTGTGGAAACTTCTTTTTCCACTGATACAGACTGGCAACTACCCTGTAAAATAGTTTTAGATTGTTGTTTGGAGATCGCTGGGAGGACACATGATTTGCCTAAGGTTAAAAGTCAGCGTGTGTCAAAGGCAAGACCTGAAACCAAGTTTTCCTAACGCTAATGCTGACATGGTTTCCATTAGGTAACACTTCTTTTTTTGGGGGGGGGCTGTTTATATTACTATGTATTACTATTTACACTTGATTATAACTTAATAATCAACCTGGAAGAGTCAGAGTCATGAAAACTCTACTGTTCAGTTTGTAGTAAGAGAAGACAGAATTCTTAGGGGAGACTCAAGAGCCATCGTTACTTATAAGAAGGATTCTTCCATGAAAGAGGGAGTAGGCTTGTTCTTATTGGATTCAGTTGGCAGAACTTGAAGTAATGGGTACAAATTATGAAGAAGAGAATTTAGGCTTGATAGAAGAAAAAGCAACCTTCCTTATAGTTAGACCTACCCCACAGTTGAGTTGCCTGAGAAGGTAGTGGGTTCCCTCAGCTTGAACTCCTTAAGGGGAGGCTGGTTGATCATGTTTTGGGCATGTGGTAGAGAGGCTCATACTTCAGCCTTCGACTTCTGAGGTCCCTTTCAATTCTGAACTCCTGTGATGTTAACAAATGGAGGATGGACATTTACTTCTTTGCCCGAAGTCATGCAGAAACGCTAATACAAATATGAAAACATCGAAGCAATCAACAATCTTCCCCTGAAACCTACAACACTATGAGGAAACAGGCCTAACCCTGCATGCATCTCACTCCTCTCTAATGCGCTTTCCTCAGGGTTTTCTGTCTAACCTCTACATGCACAGCACCACGGAGAGATAATAACATTACGCTTATTTTCTCCTTTCAGTCAGATGGATTCTTCAGATAGTCTAAACACAGCCTTTTTGTTTTATTGGGAGAACAAAACTACATTTGATGATCAAATGATAGTTTTAATGGATTGAAGAGTGTTTCCGTTAAAGGATGGCTACGATGTAAGCAGGGACTGTTTAAATAACCTCGTTTCCCTCTTGCCTTGTATCAGAGGGTTAGAATTCTAATGTAGCATATTCATGCTCCAACCTGATCATATCCCTTGAGCTAAGATTCTGAGTGGCATCAATCCATGGCATCTGAGGGCTTTTGCCAAAGACATGTCAGAACTCCCCGAAAGTGCAAATCACCCCATAAATTCTAGACTTACACAACACCTGTGACCTCATCATTGAAATATGTCTTAATGATCCAGTGAGTAGAAGCCTTCAGTAAATGCATTGAATGTTTCACATTGTTATCAGTGGGTGTTCACTAAAGTTTTTGAGTAATGACAGCACCAGACTAATTCTCAAGGAATCAGTATCAGCTAAATGAAGTTTTCAAAGTTTGACTTATGAAATAAAATAATGACCCTAAAGATTTTCTATTCCTATGGTCTTTTGCAGAAGCTTTTAAAAAAATGTGTCAAGATAATTTTGTGTTCTTTGAATCCTTGCCATGATTTTGTGTTTTTGCTCTTCTTTCAATCTTCTTTTGGTCAATCTTTTCTTCAGTATATGGAACTTCTGGTGTAGAAACTCTCTCAGCCATGAGGATCAGCAATTCCTCTGCAACTTAAAGTCTTTGAGAGTTACCTTCAGCCCTGACAGGTGAAGTGACTTGCCCACTGTCACACAAAGGCAAGATTTAAATTTAGCTCTTCCTAATTCCAATGGCAGTCCTCTATTCGCTATGCTGAGTGTGCTTCCAATTGATTTAAACACAGTGATAATCAGCACAGTAATTTGAGATGTTGAATTTAAATAGCTGAAAATTATTGTTTTAAGTTGCTCTCTTCTTCAGATGATGCATGTCTTTCCTTCTTCCTCTTTATCTTTGACGTGGTGGGATCATCCTTTTGATGCTAGGAGGGTTGCTCAGGGTCTGGACCTCTGGGAAAACAGAGTTGGTTGGTTGCTGTCCTTTGCTCTCAAAGACCAAAATGACATCATTATGTTGGAGTCAAGGTACACTGTGTCCAGCTGTGGCTGATCAGGCCAATATGACCTCAGAAAGCTCTACCACAGCTGGGGCACAGCTAGTCCACATGAGCATTTGGAGTGGAGAGGTCCCTAAATTTGCAGATCTCATATTTCTTTTGAGCTACATTCATAGAGCACAGCGCCTTCTTTGATTTGGGCACACCATGCTGGGTAGTCCTTTGCCAGTGTTTCCCATGTCACGAAATCAATTCCAAAATTCTTCAGAGAGACCTTGAGAGTGTCCTTGTATTACTTGTAGCTGCTGAATTCTCTCACAACAAAACCTGTTTATCTTTCAGGTCTACTGGATTTCGTGTTGGCCATAAGTGTGTGCACATTCTATGTAACAGGGTAGTATAAATGGAAAGAACATAATCAAAGGGCAACATCAGATATGCCTCTGTACTGGCTTTAAAGAGCCTGGCCTTGACATCTCCCTATACCATCCAGTATAAGAAAGAGAATGACTGGGGGGGGGGGACACACTCAGTTTGGTTTTTTTAATTTCTTTTGTTTTGGTAGGACTGAGAGTGGGTGGGGAAGGAGACTGAGGTAAGGTAAACAAAGCAGCTGCTACTCTTGTCTGGAAAAATGAATAGCCTAAGGAAATCATATCATCTCCTGAGCATTTGGTTTTCAATTCACTTATAGAATCATAGAATCTTCATTCATATGTCCCTTCAAGAAAGGACATTGAAATGTCATCTAGTTCAATCCCTAGCTCAATCACAAATCTCCTCTATAATATCCCTAACAATCATTAGTTAATTCAGCCTCCAGATTGGACACCTACAGTGCTAGGAAGCTGATTTATGAATGCGGCAACCTATTCCCTTGAAAATTTCACTGGAAGCTCTGGTTGACGGAAAGTTCTTCCTTTTATTCAATCATCATTTTTGTAGCATGTTATGTTGTACAAAATACTGTGCTGAAGGGAAATGCAAAGCATTTTAAAAGATGATAGTGTAGGGGCCAGAACAATGGCCTTGGAGTTGGAATTTGCAAGAAGAATCAACTAACAGGGGACGGGTCCATTCAGAGCCTAGGTTTCTTCCTCTGTAAAATAATGGTTTTTGAATGGATTATTTCCAAAATTCCTTCTTGCTATAAATCCTAAAACCCTATGGAGGATACCAGAATAAGAAGAGAGTACTATAGAAGGACCAGTCTAAGGTACAGGGGCTTTTTAGCTTGAAGAAGACTGGAAGAGAGACGTAAGTGTCAAATATTTGAAGAACCATCATCAGAATAATTATCCTTATTTAATTCAACATTTTAGATGACTGAATTTATTATTATTATTTCAAGCCTTGAAACAGCTAACATTATGACAAAGGCCCAAATTTTGCCTTTGATTTTGAAAGTATTTTTCCTGGGCACAAAAAAGAGATGAGCCTTCTCTGTGGCCTCTTTCTGAATTTTTAATTATCAACTCTATTCAGATTGATAACTCCTTTAACATCCTGATCATGTCATCTCTCAATTTCAATGACCTTGTTCATCCCATTTCACCCAGACAGAGGTATGGTCACACATCTTAAGACTTAAAAGAGTCTAAGAGAACTATATCAACTCCAAATTCCTGAGCTTTGAAATCTCAATCTCTAAACACAACCATCTATTCCTTCTCATAACAGATCTATTTTTTGTACTTATCTTGAACTACAGCCCCTTGACCTCTCCCCAGTCAATCTCCATTACTTTAGCTTTACTTACCTATCCACTTAACCTTGACTACAGGGTCTTCCACTTTAACAATTTATTATCTACTATCATGAAATCTATCCACTATCTACCCTCCCCCCACCAGCTGAAACTTTTGGCATTTCTGATCTGCTAATCTCCAGTCTTGGGCAATTCACCCATACCATTTTTCTGCTCCTGTTCCCAGGCTCTCAGAATCACTAAAAGTCATGAAATCCAGCTGATTTCATTCAGCCCAAGTTTACAGTGAATAAACTCAGCTGGGCTGTCATTATTTCTTGCCAATCCTTCTACTCTGCTTTTAATGACTCCCTATCTCGCTCTCCATAGTAACTGTTACAAGCTTTTTCATCACTCTTCAAGTTCCCAACTCTACTCCCACCTGCATATCTACAGCACATGATGAAGCCTGCTGTTTCCTTGAGAAGCCTGAGACTCCTTTCCAGAGGGAGCTCTGAGGAAGATGTATCTGACTTCCTTGCTAAAACTGATCTTCCTACCTGTACTCTTAATCCCAATCCCTCTTTCCACATCTATGAATTTGCTCCAGTGATGTTTTGAGTATGAATTGGATTTAAGTGAAGTATTGGTCCTCTTTGAGAAGGAAGGATAAACAAACAACAACAATGTGCTCCAGTAATCATTTTTTCTCTTTCAGTAATGTTTTCATCTTTTTTTTTCTCTACTGGCTTCTTCCCGTATGCTTAAAAACTCAAAGGTTTTAAACTTAAAGCTCAAGGTTTCCCAAATCATGTCATCTTATGAGCCTTCCATTCTATTAAAATGCTATATAATATCATTCTCCCTTTTTAAAGCCTAATTTCTTTTAAAAAAATTTATTGCTAACTTTTGTTTTAACATTACCTTCAATTCTGACTGTTGGGAGGGAGTATGGCACAGCAGAGAGTATTTAGTCTCTGAATCAGTAGTAAAAGAAACTGAATTCAAATCCTAGCTCTGCCACTTGTGTGACCTTAGGCAAGTAATTTTCCCTCTCTGGGCCCCAATTTTCTTATCTGTAAAGTGAGAGGATTGGACTACATGACCTATAAGGTCCCATTTACCTCTAGATCTGTGATCCTAGGATCCTTTCATTAGAAAAATTTGAAACAAAAACCTACTACAGTGAGTGAGTGAAGAAGAGTCTTTATTACACTTCTCAAGAGAGAAGCAGGCATGATGCACATGGGCACTGGTTCAGTGGTAGAATCAACTTTTAAACCATTAGTAAGATCCATCAGGGCTACCATTAGTCTAGTTCATCTGAGTTACACCCTTCCTGGACAGCCCATTGGGCATCTTCTTCCATGCTCTGTTAACTCCGCACACTTCATGGGTCCCAATGTTCAAAAATGGCGGATATTTCCACCCTTGGGGTATGTCAGTTAATATTCAATAAGCTTATCAAGCAAGCGCAGTGGAGAAAAGCCTTTGCCCTGTCAAGGTCCGGTTCTTGAGCCTGAAGGGTTGCAGCTGATTTAGCCTTCAGGGCTCTTTCTTGTGGAACTAGTTGTTTGCTCTACTTTCTGTTTAGTTGAGGGGGACTATCCACAAGATCTTAGAATTTCTTGTCCTGCTGTGGAAGCCTAACCCTCTAAAACCTTTCTTACACTTTCCTTTAGACTCCCTTACTCAGCAAGCCAGTCTTATGACGAATAATAATAATAGCAATGGGGAACAAAGATAGTTCAGTAAAACTAAGCTTGATGGTATATACAATATTCCAAACTAATAGTCCCCCATCTTTACCAGTGAGACAGGGTGGTATATTTTTCTTCAACTCTTCTCTAGGGCCAAGCTTGGTCATTATAATTACATAGAGTTCAGTTTCAGATTTTTAGTGTTTCCAATTTATATCATTGTAGTCATGGTATATGTTTTCTGGCTGTGCTT